ATATATATAATATATATATATATATATATATATATATATATATATATACATACATACATACATAACATACATAATACATAACATATATATATATATATATATTTATATATATAATATATTATATATATTATATATATATATATATATATATATATATATATATCCATATCCACAATACATTTCTCTCTCTCTATGCATCTCCACGACCTCCAGCCCGCGAGGGAGGACCGGAGGAGGACCGGCGCCCGCGCGTGTAGGGCGGGATCTCCCAGGAACTCCGGCTGGCCTTGGCACGCCCTCGCTANGTTTTTGAGGGATATGTTTCTTTTTATAGAATTCCAGGTGGAGTAGTTAGGATAAGTTCTTTTATGATTCCAGTTGTTATTGTAGTTGAGGATAGTTCTTTTATATCCAGGTGGGAGTAGTTGAGGATAGTTCTTTTATAATCCAGGTGGGAGTAGTTTGAGGAATAGTTCTTTATAATTCCAAGGTGGGAGTAGTGGGATAGTTCTTTTATATGGTGGGAGTAGTTGAGGATAGTTCTTTTATAATTCAGGTGGGAGTAGTTGAGGATAGTTCTTTTATAATCCAGGTGGGTGTAGTTGAGGATAGTTCTTTATATTCCAGTGGGTGGTTGAGGATAGTTCTTTATAATTCCAGGTGGGTGTAGTTGAGGATAGTTCTTTTATATTCCAGGTGGAGTAGTTGAGGATAGTTCTTTTATAATTCCAGGTGGGTGTAGTTGAGGATAGTTCTTTTATAATTCCAGGTGGGTGGTTGAGGATAGTTTCTTTTTATAATTCCAGGTGGGATAGTTGAGGATAGTTCTTTTATAATTCCAGGTGGTTGTAGTTGAGGATAGTTCTTTTATATTCCAGGTGGGAGTAGTTGAGGATAGTTCTTTTATATTCCAGGTGGGGTAGTTGAGGATAGTTCTTTTTATAATTCCAGGTGGTTGTGGTTGAGGATAGTTCTTTTTATAATTCCAGGTGGGAGTAGTTGAGGATAGTTCGAAAAATGATAAATAACTGACATGTCCTTTTTATCCTAATGATATGAAAATCAACGATGTGACTTATGCTCATTGCAGTCGGCATATCAATCATTAGCTTCTCAAGTGCATTTTCGAATGGATAGAAAATGAATAATGATAATGAGGATAATTATTGTTTGCCGCATAAGCTAATGTTTTTTTTTTTTTTTTTTTTTTGAGTTCACATCAAGAGTGAAGCAGTAATATAACTATCTATCTCTATATCTACTTTCATCTACTATTTCCATCTGTCTTTCCACGAATGCATGCATGTCTCTGTCCTATAGATTCTATACAAAATAATCTTACCAAAATTATCTTATTCAGCCAATATGAAGCGAAGATGTTTTAGAATACAAAACGGTTTTGTTCTAAGAATCACGTTATTGAATATTAGGATCCGAAGTGTCACCGAAGCAATTTTACATTACCACAGAATCAAATCAATTCTATTATGATTCATGAATTGCATAACGATATAAGCTTCACCAAAGCCGTTTAAAAGCCTGCAAAGAAGTGTTAAAATATCACAAAAATAAATAAATAAATAAATAAGTGAAATCCATGCACTTTAAAAAACGGAAAAAAATACAAAAGCAGTTTATCATTTCTTTCATAAATGTGGCTCTGTTTTTGCTTTGTCTTTCTGTTCTTAAATCGACGATTTCTGGAAAATTGAAAATTGAATTTTAACATATAGAAGAAAAAAAAGCATATCCGACAAGACTAGACCTTTGATAAGGACTCAAATTAAGCAATCCTCAAAAACCCAATTCTCATTGTATATAACGAGACTGAATGAATAACAAAGTTGACTTTATAAACCATGAAAAATAAATCTACGTTTGTCTCATATAAAATAACTCATGTATATAACCATCAAACTACATGATAATCTTTAATTGCCTACAGTATGTAATAAAAATCATCATCTATCTATCCACTTGTCTATCAATACAGTTGCGTCATCGTGGTATCGTTATCATTAAGTTAATACGTTAATGGTTTTAATTAAATAGAGAGAGATTGTGATACGGTAGGCCTATATCAGATTATATAATTCCGGGTTAGATATATTGATAAGCCAGTTCACTTAATATTCCTTCTTTGTATTCAAAGTATGTCTCCGATATACAGATTATAGTGTTATACAAACTGCTAAGTTAATTTTCTATCCACTTGGCAACTGGTGGATTATAATTAATTCTATCATTAATATTAATTTGAAGAATATCGTGTAGACACTTCACTACATTGTTATGTTTTTGTGAACTTCTATGAGTAAAATTCTTGAATGAGGATATATATATTTTGCAGAAGTTTGTGTCAGTGTTCTTCAAAGGAAATTGATGTTTGGAAGTGTGTGTATGTTTGTGTGTATATGTGTATCTATTTGTGTGTGTGCGTATGTGCATGTGTGTGTCTGTTTGTGTGTGTGTGTATGTGCATGTGTGTGTCTGTTTGTGTGTGCGTATGTGCATGTGTGTGTGTCTGTTTGTGTGTGTGTGTTGTGTGTTGTGGTGTATGTGCATGTGTGTGTCTATTTGCGTATGTGTATGTTTATGCATGCGTCTGTTTTTTCTTTGTGTGTATCTGTTTGTGTATGTGGGTGTCTGATTATGTGTGTGCGTGTGTCTGTTTGTGCGTGTGTGTCTTGCGTGTGTGTATGTGTGTGTCTTGTGTGAGTATGTGTGTCTTGTGTGTGTATGTGCGCATTGTGTGTGTATGTGTGTCTTGTGTGTGTACGTATGTGAGTGTAAGTGCGTGTACGTGCGTGTGTTTCTGTGTGCGTATGTGCCTGACGAAAAGGATGAGCAACCTGCGAAGGGGTGATTTCATCTCAAACTATTCTTACCTGAGCTTGAGAAAACGTAAATCATCCGATCCGTTTTTTCTACGCGCGCCGAATAATTTATGATGCGCTATCCATCCTCCCCACAAACCGTCATTCATACTTACGCAAATTTTTGGTTATCCACCTATGCAAACCTCATAAATTTTCCAAAAGCCGCGAGGACCCCCGTAAAAAAGAAGGCAAGCCAGATTTTTTGCTTCTATTAAAAAAAATACTTTATTCCTTTTTATCTTTAAACTTTTTTTTTTCTTCTCTCTCTCTATTTTCTTCTCTTTCTTCAAAAATCAGCGTTCGTGTAAGCGCGCGAGAAAATCCTCCTCGGTGTACTTTGATATTTCTCGCAGAATCTCGTCGGCGCGCGAGAACAAATCAGCTGATTGAAAAACGTGAGGCGCATTGGATGACTGACGTTCGCAAACCTCTCGAAAGACGTGCGATCCTGCATCCAAATGGTTGATATTCGTACAGCTGGAAGAGTTTACATCATCCTCGCCCGGGGGAAGGGAAAATAAAAGGAAAGAAGCTCCGGCTTTGAGGTAGAAAGTTTATATACAATTTTAGGGGAAACGGTGCGTGCGAAACGGCTCGTGGAGGATGTGAACGAGTAAATACTTTATCGGGGGACGGCAGCGGATGTGAACGAGGGAGCGCAAACAGACGACAGGCCTTCATAAATACCGAACGGAATGGTTATTTTACGCAGTACATTTACTCCTCGTCCGTATTAGCTTCCCCGTAGACATAATATATACGCTATTCATTTTAGGACAAGACACTCATCACGTGCCAGCGGTGTGCGGAGCAGGACGGGGCTTAATAGAGGGAGTTTGAGGATAATGCTCCAACTTTGAATGGTTATCGACGATCGCCGGAGTTGCTGGTTGGGCCGAGCGCAGATGCGGGGCTGAGGGACGCTAGTTGGGGTCTTTGGGGCTGAGGGACGCTAGTTGGGGTCTTTGGGGCTGAGGGACGCTAGTTGGGGTCTTTGGGGCTGAGGGACGCTAGTTGGGGTCTTTGGGCTGTTGGGGGTCTTTTGGGCTGAGGGACGCTAGTTGGGGTCTTTGGGGCTGAGGGACGCTAGTTGCTTTTGGGTAGTTGGGGTCTTTGGGCTGAGGGACTCTTTGGGGCTGAGGACGCTAGTTGGGGTCTTTGGGGCTGAGGGACGCTAGTTGGGGTCTTTGGGCTGCAGGGAGGGACGCTAGTTGGGGTCTTTGGGCTGAGGGACGCTAGTTGGGGTCTTTGGGGCTGAGGGACGCTAGTTGGGGTCTTTTGGGGCTGAGGGACGCTAGTTTGGGGTCTTTGGGGCTGAGGGACGCTAGTTTGGGGTCTTTGGGGCTGAGGGACGCTAGTTGGGGTCTTTGGGGCTGAGGGACGGGTTGGGGTCTTTGGGGCTGAGGGACGCTAGTTGGGGTCTTTGGGCTGAGGACGCTAGTTGGGGTTTTGGGGCTGAGGGACGTAGTTGGGGTCTTTGGGCTGAGGGACGCTAGTTGGGGCTTGGGGCTTAGTTGGGGTCTTTGGGGCTGAGGGACGCTAGTTGGGTCTTTGGGGCTGAGGGACGCTAGTTGGGGTCTTTGGGGCTGAGGGACGCTAGTTGGGGTCTTTGGGGCTGAGGGACGCTAGTTGGGGTTTGGGGCTGAGGGACGCTAGTTGGGGTCTTTGGGCTGAGGGACGCTAGTTGGGGTCTTTGGGGCTGAGGACGCTAGTTGGGGTCTTTAGGGCTGAGGGACGCTAGTTGGGGTCTTTGGGCTGAGGGACGCTAGTTGGGTCTTTTGGGGCTGAGGGCGCTAGTTGGGTCTTTGGGCTGAGGGACGCTAGTTGGGGTCTTTGGGGCTGAGGGACGCTAGTTGGGGTTTTGGGCTGAGGACGCTAGTTGGGGTCTTTGGGGCTGAGGGACGCTGTTGGGGTTTTGGGGCTGAGGGACTAGTTGGGGTCTTTGGGGCTGAGGGACGCTAGTTGGGGTTTAGGGCTGAGGGACGCTAGTTGGGGTCTTTGGGGCTGAGGGACGCTAGGTTGGGGGTCTTTGGGGCTGAGGGAGGGACGCTAGTTGGGGTCTTTGGGGCTGAGGGACGCCTCGTTGGGTCTTTGGGCTGAGGGACGCTAGTTGGGGTCTTTGGGAGGGCGCTAGTTGGGTCTTGGGCTGAGGGACGCTAGTTGGGGTCTTTGGGGCTGAGGGACGCTAGTTGGGGTCTTTGGGGCTGAGGGACGCCTCGTTGGGGTCTTTGGGGCTGAGGGACGCTAGTTGGGGTCTTTGGGGCTGAGGAGCAGTTGGGTCTTTGGTAGGGCGCTAGTTTGGGGTCTTTGGGGCTGAGGGACGCCTCGTTGGGGTCTTGGGCCAACAGACACGACATGAAGTTGTTTAAAATGCTGTGTGTATGAGGCTTGTTTATTATTATTTTATTATTTTATTATTATTATTATTGTTGTTGTTGGTGTTGTTGTTGTTGTTATTAATATTAATATTATTGTTATTGTTATTATTATATTATTATTAATTATTATTATTATATTATTATTATTATTATTTCATTATTATCATTACATTATTATTATTATTATTATTATTATTATTATTATTATTATTATTATATATGAATATACATGAATATATATATGTATCTGTGTGTGTATACATATACATATATATATATATATATATATATATATATATATATATATATATATATATATATATATATAATAAATCACACACATAGTAATCATAATCAACCTCGTCAACATCAGAGTGGTAATACCATCAAATGAACTTTGAAGCAAGATATTAGCTTTTTTATGACAAGAAGTTCCCTTTGCCACAGACACACAGGGCACAGGAAGAGCAGCCAGTAATAACAGCCATCCGAAAACGGGAATTACCGTTTGACATGTTCCAAACATGTTCTGTCCGGAGGCAGTCAGAGCTCGCCACACGTGTCAAACATGATTCATGATTTTCGCGGATAAATACTCAGCTAAAATACAGCATCATTAGCCGTGATAATCAGGTTTCTAGCGTCGGTTGATACAGTTTTAGTACAGATTTATATATGGATATACTTATGTATCTCTCTCTCTCTCTCTTTCTCTCTCTCTTCTCTCTCTCTCTCTCTCTCTCTCTCTCTCTCTCTCTCTCTCTCTCTCTTCTCTCTCTCTCTCTCTCTCTCTCTCTCTCTATTTTATATATATATATATATATATATATATATATATATATATATATATATATATATAATATATATATATATATATATATATATATATATATATATATATATATATATATATATATAGTATATATATATATATATATATATTATATATATATATATATATATATATATATATATATATATATATATATATATATATATATATATATATCAATGTAATGATTACATTGTTAAAACAAATCTAGGGAATGTTAGGTATTTTGCGCGTTAAAAAATCTCTTATAAAGAAATTTCGGTTCATCTCATTTAATTGCCTTTGAAAGCATGAACATCCGTTAAGTTGCGTCACTTTAAAATGATAATTTTCGTTTATGTTCTTTTATTATTTATAACGTCAGCTCAGAAGTGAAGTATTGCATAAGTGACATTATGAAAAGTAATTTGCAGTGATGGGTATTCTGTGTCTTTTAGCTTGTAGATTTTAACTGTTATCGTTTATTCGTTGTTTGTATGTATTTATTAATGTTTGGATTTGTTTATCCAATGACTATTAACCTTAACGTATTGTCACTTATATGAAGGTTTATGAAGGTTCAATTTTCAAGGGGAACACTTTGAAGTAAATATTTTTATCAAATCATTAAATCTTTTACGAGGTTTAGTAAATATTAAATGCTTTATGAGTGATGTATTGAATGCATAAGCTAATAAAAGTACAATGACCTGTTGGTGATTCTGCTCGATATTTTGCAAAGGCGTGTAATAACATTTGCAATATAACTAGTAATTCATAAAACTGTCTTTCTAATGTTAGATTCTGAGTAATATCACATTTGTCCATGTACAACCGGTTTGTATAGCCATGAACTAAATACTAGAAAGAATTGCTCCTCGCTATATATGTATATATATATATATATATATATATATATATATATATATATATATATATATATATATATATATATATATATACATATATATATACACACACACACACACACACACACACACAACACACACACACACACACACACACACACACACACACACACAACACACACACACACACACACACGCACACACACACACACACACACTATTTATATATATATATAGAGAGAGAGACAGACAGACACAGACACAGACACAGACACAGACAGACACAGACAGACAGACACAACAAAAAGACAGATAGTTCAATTGCTATATTTAACAAAGTGTCACTCTACCGTTTTTGATAATATTGAATACACAATATAGAATATGTTACAATTCATACTTGTCACCAATCCGTGATGACTTCTCCGGACACTATCAACATCACATATTTCATTAAGTTAATATTCCGATTAGATTAAATAGCGACATATATCAAATAAATAGTGGAATGTCTGAATAACGAAGTAGATAAGTTTAAAAATTAAAAGTGAAATGACAAGGCAATTTAAACCAACTCACAAAATAAGCGATAAAGCAGACATTTAAATATTTTTCATCTATCTCAAAGACAGACAGACAGACAGACAGACAGACAGAAAGAAAAATACAGACGGATGGACAGAAAGAAAAAGACAGACAGACAGACAAAAGAAAAAGACAGACAGACAGACAGAAAGAAAAGACAGACAGACAGACAGAAAGAAAAAGACAGACAGACAGAGAAGAAAGAAAATGACAGACAGACAGAAAGGAAAGACAGACAGAAAGAAAAAGACAGAGAGAAAGAAGACAGACAGACAGACAGACAGACAGAAGAGAAAAAGACAGACACAGACAGACAGAAAGAAAGACAGACAGACAGGCAGAAAAAGACAGATGGACAGACACCGAAACAGTCTGACCAAAGGAATCAAATCATATTCAAGAAGACTTCGCCCATACTTAAGAACTCCCCTAAGAACTGACTCAAAAAAAAATTACTTTACCTCCAAGAACCACGCCAAGTTCCGGAGAGTTCTGCGCCATCTCGAAAACTTGGCGATAGTCCCTCCCTCGGTTCTCTCCTGGAGGCGCTGAAGTGGAGAGGAACTTGACGTGGCTTGTGTCTGAATTCGTAATGCTGGGGTGGGGGAGGGAGGAGATATTTCCCCAAAGCTTTGTTCGGTCAAGTTTGAAAGTCTGTGTATTCGTAATGTGATACGAAAGCGGAATATTGGTGCGCCGGGAGACCATGCACGCGCAGCCACACACACATAAATGGGTGTAGGTGGATGTGTATACTTGCTTAGATATTACGAGAAGCACGGATATCAAAGTTTCATTTTTGTTCTCCGTCTCTGTCCATCTCTCTCCTCCTCCTCCTCTCAATATAATTTTTAATTTTTGCTTTCTTCTCTCTCTCTTCTTTCTCTCTCTCTCACTCTCTCTCTCTCTTTCTCTCTCTCTCTCTCTCTCTCTCTCTCTCTCTCTCTCTCTCTCTCTCTCTCTCTCTCTCTGTCTCTTCTCTTTCTCTCTCTCTCTTCTCTCTCTCTCTCTCTCTCTCTCTCTCTCCTCTCTCTCTCTCTCTCTCTCTCTCTCTTTCTCCTCTCTCTCTCTCTCTCCTCTTCTTTCTCTCTCTCTCTCTCTTCTCTGTCTCGTCTACCGGACTTCTATACTTCATATTCTTCTCATCCTTCCCCCTCCTTCCCTCTTCGGCCGCTGCGGCACATATTCACTCAGAAATTTTATGCCATCCATCGTACCTTAAGCCATACCCTCTCCCTTTCCCCTTCCCCTCTCCTCCTTCTCCTCTCCTCCTCCTTTCCCCCTTCCTCTCTCCTCCTCCTTTCCCCCTTCCCCTCTCCTCCTCCTTTCCCCCTTCCCTCCTTCTCCTCTCCTCCCTCTCCCTCTCACCCTTCCCCCTGTCCTCTTCCCTCTCTTCCTCTTCTCCCCTTCCCCTGTCCTCCTCTTTCCCCCTTCCCTCTCCCCTCCTTCCCACTCCTTCCCCCTCCCTCTCCCTCTCCCCTTCCTCTTTCCTCTCTCACCCCTTCTCTTCTCCTTATTCCCTCTCCCCTTTAAGTTTCCTTCTAAACCTCTATTTCACTTCCCTTTCTCGTTGCTTGGAATTTCCCTTCCTTTTCCTCTCTTTTTCCATTATCCCCTTTTTCTTCCTTTTTTTTTCCTTTCGGTCTCTCTTCCTCCCCTTCCTCCTTTCTAAGCCCTTTCCTTATCACAAATCGCTCCTTCTTCATCCTCTCCCCTCTCCCTTACCAAAACCACCCTTTTCCCTATCCCCCTCCTTCTTCCCATTCTCTTTCCCCTCCCTCCTCCTCCTTCTTCTATTCCCCTAACCTTTCCCTCCCTCTTCCCTCCATCCGTCTCCTTCCTATTCTCCTCCTCCTCTTCCTATTCCCTAACTCCTTCCCCTCCCCTTCTCATTCTTCAAATTTCCCTCCCCCCACTTTTCCCTCTTCCCCTCCCTCCGTCTCCTTCCTATTCTCCTCCCTCCTCCTCCTTCTCCCTATTCCCTAACCTTTCCTCCCCTCCCCTTCCTCCCTCCGTTTCCCTTCCTATTCCCCTCCCTCCTCTCCTTCCTATTCCCCTTCCCCACCCCAACCCCCCTCTTCCCCGACCTTTTCGCCGGTCGCTTACACAACAAAAATATGAAGCCTGTTTCTCTTTGGCAAATGCACAAATGATATCCAATTTACATGCAAGTGGACATAGCCTGAAGAGGAGGAGGGGAAGGAGGGGGTGGATGGCATGAGGGGAATAGAGGAGGGGGAGAGGAATTGGAAGGGAGTTCGGAAGAGGAGGAGGAAGAGGGGGAGAGGAGGAGGAGGGAAAGTGGAGGGAAGGAAGATGAAGATGAGGAGGAGGAAGAGGGGCAGAGGGAGGGGGAGGAGAAGTGGAGGGAAAGGAAGAGGAGGAGAAAGAGGAGACGGAGAAGGTGAGGAACGGGAGGAAAAGAAAAGAAAGGAAGAACATATGGTCGGGTAAGGAGGAAAGATGAGGAAAGTGCGAAGAAAAAGAAAGAAAAATGCAAATAAGAAAACAGAAGAGAGAGAGAGAGAGAGAAGAGAGAGAGAGAGAGAGAGAGAGAGAGAGAGAGAGAGAGAGAGAGAGAGAGAGAGAGAGAGAGAGAGAGAGAGAAGAGAGAGAGAGAGAGAGAGAGAGAGAGAGAGAGAGAGAGAGAGAGAGAGAGAGAGAGAGAGAGAGAGAGAGAGAGAGAGAGAGAGAGGAGAGAGAGAGAGAGAAGAGAGAGAAGAAACACAACTGAAAATCCAAAGATGAAAAAAAAATACAGCAAAAATTCAGAAAAAACACCAACAAGACAAACAACAACAATAATCACAAAGAGAGAAACGGAGAAAACCCACAAAAAAAGACACTTTATGCAAAGCAAGCCAAACAATAGGACCTCCAACGGACCTTCCCCTCCGTATAGGAAGCCACAAAGGAGCGTCCAATTGATACTCGTCTCAGGAGAAGCGGCCGGTCGAGACGTCATTCCATCTGAGCCGGACATGAAGGCAAAAGGGGGTGAAAAGGAGGAGGAGGAGGGGTGGAAGGAAGGAAGGAGGGAAGGTGGTGGAGGAAGAGGAGGTGGAGGAAGGAGGGGAGGTGGAGGGAGGAGGAGGAGGGGGTGGAGGAAGGAGGAAGGAGGAGGAGGAGGAGGAGGAGGAGGAGGAGGAAGGAGGAGGTGGAGGAAGGAGGAGGGGAGGGGGTGGAAAGGAGGGGAGGAGGAGGAGGGAGGAAGGGAGGAAGGAGGGGTGGAGGAGGAGTGGGAAGGAAAGGAGGAGGAGGAGGGGAGGAAGGAGGAGGAAGGAGGAAGAGGAGGGGGTGGAGGAAGGGGAGGGAGAGGGGGTGGAGGAAAGGAGGGTGAGGAGAGGAGGAGGGGGTGGAAGGAAGGGAGGGGAGGAAGGGGGTGGGGAAGGAGGAGGGGGGTGGAGGAAGGAGGAGAGGAGGAGGAGGAAGGGGGGTGGAGGAAGGGGAGGAGGGGTGGAGGAGGAGGAGGAAGGAGGAGGAGGGGGGTGGATGGGGAGGAAGGGAGGAGGTTGGAGGAAGGGTGGAGGAGGAGAGAGAGGAGGTAGGGGGAGAGGAGAGAAGGAGGGAGGTGGAGGACGAGAGGAGGAGGGGGAAGGAGGGTAGGAGCAGAAGAGGAGGGGCGTGGAAGGGAAAAGGGAGGTTGGGAGAGGAGGAGGAATGGGGGAAGAAAGGGAGGAGGAGAGGGAGGGCATTGGTTGAGAGAGGATAGGGAAGAAGGAGGAGGAGAAAGGAGGCTGGGAAGACATGTTGATTAAGATGAGGAGGGGGGATGGAGGAGAAGGAGGTAGGAGGATGAGGACTTGAGGATGCATGTGGTTAAAAGGGTGGAGGAGGAAGTGGGAAAAAGAGGGGGGAGGAGAGGACAGGAGGAGAGGGTGGTGGGAGGAGGATCAGTAAGGAGGAGGAGGAAGAGGAGGAAGAAGGGAGGAGGCTGGGAGATAGTTGGTTAAGATGGGCAGAAGAAGGTAGGAGGAAGGAAGGAGGAGGGGGAGAAGGGGGGAGGAAAAGGAAGGATGCGAAGGAGCTGATAGAGAAGATGGAACGGAGATGAAAGAGGTAGATGTGGTACAGGTGTTCTCTCTTCTCTCTGCTCTCTCCCTCCTTTCTCCTCTCTCCCCCTCTCTCTCTCTCATTCTCTCTTCTTCCCTCTCCCCCCCCCTATCTCTCTCTCTCTCTCTCTCTCTCTCTTTCTGCTCTCTGTCTGTCTATTTCTTTCTTCTCTTCCCTCCCCCCCTCCTTTTCTCTCTTCTTTATTCCCTTTTCTTTCCCATTCAATATTCTCCTGATTCAGAAATAGACACAGATAACCTGCAATAATGACCTATATTATTGCTACTGTTATTTGTTATTGTTATTGTTATCTGTTATACGTGCTGAGGCCTCCCATAACATAGTAACATTGGGGGTTGCGGTCACTTCACTATAATATTGTGATCACCATATCGTAGGTGGCCATATTACAGTGTATTATATTAATGATAAGTGTCTATTTTTTTCCTACTCCTAGTCCTGCCTCTCGCCTTCCTGTACGTCTCTTTCTCTCTTTCTCTTCTCGTTTCTTTTTATCTTTATTTCCCTCTTCTTCTCTCCTTCCCTTCTCTCTCTCCCTTTTTCTCCTCTCTTTCCCCTTCCTCTCCCTTTCTGTCCCTCCTCTTCTCTTCCCTCCTCCCTCATTCTCGCTCCCCTTCCCCTTCCTCTCCCTCCCTTTATCCTCTCCTGTCCCTCTCCTCCCTCCTTCAACTCTCCTTTCCTCCGTTCCTCTCTCTCTCCCTTTCCTTCCCCTACCTATCCCTCCCCTTCTATTCCCCTTTCCCGCTCCTCTCCCTCCCCTTCCCTCTTCCCTCTTCCCACCCGTCCCATACCCCTTTCCCCCTTTCTATCTCTTCTTCTTGCCTTTACTCTCTTCCTGTCAGTTCAGTTCTCCTCGTACCCAGTGACCCCGCGAATTAAGACCAAGTTACAATCAGCCTTACAATTGGGATGGGTAGACTGTGGACTCAGTGATGTACTTTGAGACAGGAGAGAGAGAGTTAGAGAGAAAGAGAGTTAGAGAGAGAGAGAGGGAAAGGAAGAGAGAGAGAGAGAGAAAGGAAGAGGAGAGAGAGAGAGAGAGGAGAGAGAGAGAGAGAGAAGAGAGAGAGAGAGAGAGAGAGAGAGAGAGAGAGAGAGAGAGAGAGAGAGAGAGAGAGAGAGAGAGAGAGAGAGAGAGCAGGAAGAGAGAGAGAGAGAGAGAGAGAGAGAGAGAGAGAGAGAGAGGAGAAGAGAGAGAGAGAGAGAGAGAGAGAGAGAGAGAGAGAGAGAGAGAGAGTTAGAGAGACAGACAGACAGACAGAAAGAACTTTTATGATTGTATTAGCAGTTTTAGACCGAGTTATAAGGAAAAAAATGATGACAGAGATAGTAATCTGTCTATTTACACTATACTTCTGTTTCTCTGTCATTTATACGTCCGTTTGCACGTTCCAGTTACATTTTTATTTAATTTGACTGCATTTGAA